ATACAATTACTTATGTGGGAGTTTCTCTAACCAACAGCCATCCCGTAAGAGCTATTGTGATGATACATCATTTTGCCTCACGCTGCCAGGACTGCCTATACCTTGCCGAGGGTATAGAACCTAAACTATTAAGTGGATCCACTAGTCTATGCTAAAAATAACTAAAGGAATCATCAAAAAAGTATGACCCTTTTCTAGCCATAATGGCTACATGGTTTATGGGGGCTGTGATTTGTCTGAACTCTCCCCCATATCGGTGTTCAATACTACTCCCAAAATATGATACTAGTTCTTATGTTTAAAAACATACTTCTTTCTGTGATTTGAGATAATTGCTCAAAAACATAGCTCTAAGGCTACCTTGGAAATCAAAGTTTTCCCTCTTGCTTAATTGTGAAATTGTTTACTCTTTACTGAAAACTAACTAAAAGGCTCTTTGGAAATCGAAGTTTCCTTTCTTATCTAAATGTGAAAACATTTTAAACTCTTTGGGAATACATAGTCCCCATATACTTTTGAAGAAATGAACTTCAACCTTTACTCTTTAATCTCTACTCAACTTGAACTTTAAGTCTTGAAACAAAGTTAAAATATTTGGAAAAGACTTTTGGAAAACTCTAAGAACTTTTTTTGACTTGACTCTTACTTCTCTTGACTTTGATCTTAACTTTCCTTGAATTGGATTATGGATTCAAGGTTTATGATCTCATGTTTATGGATCATTTCATGATTTTTAGACGTACCTTAGAGTGTTGGAATCAACTAGAAAACGTATGTACGTTGCTAAGGAACTAGTACGGAAAGATGGTGAAGGAATGGGGAGAACTGGCGTCCCTGGCGCTCTGAGAGGGGTGGGGATCCAGAGGGAAAACTTCAGAGCCTAACTTGGAGCGCGCTGGCTGGCGCGGCGCCCCAAGGGTCGAACTTCAGACTCCTCTTTGGGGCACACTAATTGGCGCGACGCACCACCTCCATTTCCTAGTTTTTGACGAATTTCCTTGGTCGTTTTTCAACTCTAAACCCTCTAAACTCAATTGGTTCTTTCCCCAATCACTTAGATTCGACTACATAACCAAAATATGCAAGAATCTATTCGAAACAACACCTAATTTCATGAATCCGGATCAAACAACTCCTCAATAATTGCAATGAATCAAGAATTCAATTGAACTTCAACAAACTCATCAAGAATTCAATTTCTAAGCTTTCAAGAACTTAAATTCGCTGAAATAAGTCATGATTGGTGCGTGGGTGAACTAACCCAACACTATGTGATCTCACATACCTTGTAGGGATCACCCCTTGACGAAATCCACTAGCGAAATCCTTACGAATGATGATCTTGGCTCTTTTCTCCTCTCTTCTCCTCTTGCATTCTTTCTCCAAAAACCCTAACTCTATTTTTCAAAAGCGTAAACTGAATCCTATCAGCTTAGACCCTTAAATAATTACAAAAAATGAATTAATTAAGCTGGGTATGAAAAAGACCAAACTACCCTTTCCAAAATCCGGATTGGACTTTCCTTATTCGAACAACTCAACTTCCAATGGGCATAACTCACTCATATGAACTCGTAATCGCGCCAACTCGGCGGCGTTGGAATATTATTCCAAGATCTTTCCTACGATATCTAGAACAACACCTAACTCATCCTGAGATAGGATTTATGGTCGTTCAAAGTTGATCAAAAACTCAAATTAACATACTTAACAAATTTTCCAGATTTCAATTCTTTCCAAAAATGATTATTTCCAAATTCTTAACTTCTTCCTAGTTATTTCAATTTGCGAGATGTTATAGTTTTGGAAAGACATTTTAAAATAATTAATTATCAATGCACGTGTATTTGATTGATTTTTTTAAAATTATCCGTAATTCAAAAATTAAAAAGACATAAATTTAAACCGATCCCACTAATTTTGAAATAATTAGCTACCAATACACGTGTATTTTTATTTTTCAAATACAATTTTGTAATTTTTTTTTTAAATACTATTTTTTTATGGCACTGACATGTAGGCTCTCTCACCTCTCCTATTATATATACTAGTATATGTGCCCGCGCGATGCACATCTATTTTAAAATATAATAATTTTTAATTTAAAAATAATTATATGAATTATTATTGAGTAACATGTGTAATCATATATAATATTTTGATTTTATATATACACTTATGTTAATAAAATTTTAGTTAATTCTATGTGCAGTGAGGATATATTCTTCCAAGACACTAAACAATATTCTAACTTCTCCTTCTCCTATTATAAAGAAGATTAATAGCATATGTATTGGATGATGAACTGATATTTGTGCTAATTGATTAAATTTTAAATTCATTAATTTTTTTTTGAATATAGTATTAAAAATAATGACTATACTTTTAACTAAAATCTACATATAATTTGCAAAGCATATTGCATTTTCTTTAGCTCACTCCTCTAGTTCAATCCTACAAAATAAAATGATTTCATTTAATTAAATATAATTTCATAAAATATGGATACATAAAAAAAATAATTAAGTAACCAATAAAAAAATATCATAACTAAAACACACACCATATATATCACATAACACTACAACAAATTTGATTTTCAGTTACGAATAATTTTGTCACCTAAAGAACATATTTCGTCACCAAAAAACTTCCGTGATGAAAAAAAAATCGTCAAGCATTCGTCCCTAAATCGTATGTCACCAAATGTATACATGCACAATTTAGTGATTCGTCACTAATTATAGTTCCATTTACTACGAAAATATTTTTCGTCCCCAAATGTATAGTATCTATGACAAACTTGTTCATCATAGAAAATATTTTTTTTTGTAGATAATGGTAGCTTTTCGTCACTAAAAAGGTCATTAATGCCGACGAAACTGATGCGTCACTTATTGTATTATATAATTAGTGACGACGTTATTTGTCTCTAAAATTTAAATGTATTTCATCGTTGAACAAACATTATTCCGTCACAAAAAACTGCCCTTTACATTCAAATTCTCTTTTTGTCCCTAAATGTATAAATTAGTGACAACTTTATTTTTTTTATAATTTTGTAGTTGAAAACAATTAGGTCGTCACTAAAAATATTTCTTTTACTCACAAAACAAAATTGTCACTATAGAATGTCATAACTAGAGACGATCATAATTGTCATAAAATACAAAGTCAATTTGTAGGTAATAAGTAGGCTATTTTGGGACGAAAAATATTCTTGTCACCAAATGTTACACTTTTATGATGAAAACATGACCGTCTTAAAAAAATATTATAGAGTCGTCGCTAAAAGTTATGCTTTTAAGGACAAAATGTTTTGTCATTAGTCATTCATACTAATACTATTTTCCATTTGTATTTAACTAGGTTTTGTAAATTTGATAATTTATAGAAAATTTATATTTTTTAAATAATACATTAATATCTTAAAATTCATAACCTAGTTTGTTCCATAATAATAAATATACATTTTTTTAAAAAAAAAACATACTAAAGAAAGAAAGATAATAATAATAATAATAATAATAATAATAATAATAATAATAATAATAATAATAATAATAATAATAATAATAATAATAAGTTGCACACGGTTATATAGTACTAATGAAGAACAATAATAGAAAATGAGATCGAAATGATATTCACTACATACTCCTTGAAGCAAAACTAATATTATGTAACATTTATCCAACTTTAATGTATAACTAAGATTTAAACATTAACAAAACAAAGATAAAAATATAGAGGCAGCTTCAAGAGATATCATTGCAAAAGCACTTCTCTCACACCTAATCTTGATTTCCACCTTCCACAACCTATGTAAAATAGAGAAAGAAAATGTAAGATGTTATTTCATACTTGATGATATCATGATACGGACAAACTATAAAGTTATGAGGTTATTAAATGTACCTTAATGGATAACTTGATAAGAATCAGTGATCGTCACTAACTCATGAAAAGGAAACAAAGTTAGGTGCTAAAAATCTATAAATAGGACTCATTTCATGGATAAAGCATCTGCTACCAGTCCTTTAACATATTTTAATGAAGTTAAAGGTGTATTCCAGTTCGACAAAAGGAAAATGCCAAGAATAAGACCAAGATACGACAAAACTAAATTCTAACCTTGATCGGGATAAGCTCATGAAATGTTGCAGCTGTTTCATAATATCATCTTGACGTGCCGATAGAGTATCTAATTGTGAAGTTAATGTTTTTATCTGAGACTGCTGATTTTCTACAACAACTTCAGCTGCATCCAATCGTTTCTGCAAACCAAGTTGGACACTAGCAACTTCCTCCTTCGTCTTTCGAAGGGAGTCTTCTAACTCTGCTGTTCTCCTTTGTGTTGCTCGATTAGTATTAGGTTTTGGACCATAACCGAGACCTTTTATGTACCCCGACTTTTTGCCGAGTATAGCATCCACAATTTCATCAATAGTCATGGAAGACTCTCCCGAAGTATATAGAGCTTTCAAATCAATCATGTTGTTCTAGAAAACATATAATTCAAATTATTTAAACTTATTATAATAACAAATAAATCATTTTGAATGCGACTAGAATATTTGCTTCTCACATAGTTAGTCTCAGCTTCTTCAGATGCCCAGCCTTTTTCATTTGAGTAATGTGTATTTTTGTAGAACTCAATTCTATCAGGTTCGACCCCTTCAGATGTTGTGTCACCCTACAAAATAAATTTAAAAACTTATTGTAGTAAGCATGGGCGTACAAACAACAATGAGAGATGTTCATGAATGAGCATGCATCAGGGGAGGAGCATGAGCATGAGCATGCTGAAATGGTCGATGCAGCTGAGGATGCAGAACATCATGAAGTTGCTAAAGAAAGACTTAAGAGGAAGGAATTCGAAAATTTTATTGGTGGCTTGGACAAGGATGTTGTTGGACCCCAATACTAATCCATTGATTAATAATAAATGAAGATATAAAACTCAATTAGTGGGGGAGGGAGAGAAAGGAAAGGAAAAAATGCAGGAAGAGCAACAGTGGTCTAATCCTGTAGGGAAATCTGCTAAGAAAGTGGCTCAACAAAATCTGCAGGAAGTGGGTACTTCTAATGGTTTTGAAACACTACAATATTATGGCCAAGTGGGGAGGAATAAGGCAGGTCAAGAGGATGAACTCAACAGACTGGTTGAGGGCATAACATATAACCATCCTACATGAAGTGCATTGCATGGAATGTGAGGGGGTTAAATAAAGTGCACAAGCAGGTTGAGTTTAGGAATTTTTGCAGAAGGAATAAAGCAGCTATTCTAGTAGTGCTGGAGCATAAAATAAAGGAGGGAAAGGCAGGCAAGATAATTCAGAAAATGTTGGAAAGTGAGAATGGGTGGATAATTATAGTACTGATCCTAGAGGAAGGATATGGATTCTATGGGATCCAAATAAAGTGAAGTTTAGAGTGGATGTAGTTCACAAGCAATTCATTATGGGTATGTCACGACTCAAAGCTCAGGGTTCTATCTAACAGTACAGGAGTGTATGGTATGCATACCATTGCTGATAGGAAACATTTATGGACTGGCTTTACGCAAGTTACAAATGCAGTTACAGAGCCTCTAGTAAGCATGGGTGATTTCAATTCTATTCTACATGGGGATGACAGATTTGGTGGCAATGCTGTGATGGATGGGGAGGTGCAGGACTTCAAAAAGTTTATGGAGACAGCTAGCATGATTGGAATGAGGTGTTTGGGTAGGAGATATACTTGGACTAATGGGCACATTCATAGAAAAATAGATTGGATCCTAACAAATGCTACTTGGGTACATAAATGGGAGCACATTCAAGGACTCATCATGGAGCCACTGTTTTCAGATCATTGTGCTGTGAGCTTTCCCTTAGGGGATCGATAGAATAGTGGGCAAAAATCTTTCAAATTTTTTAATCACATAGCTGCTGAGCACCCTGATTTCATTGGTGTTGTGAGGAAGGGATGGAGGGGTATGACATATCCTACAATGAGAGGTGTATGGCAGAACTTGAAGAAGGTAAAGGTGTTGATTCAGAAATTAAATACTAAGGAGTTTAAGGGGGTGACTGAGAGGGTAAATCGGAAATGAAAACAACTAATCAATGTGCAAGGCCTCATGAGTGATCCCCTAGCAGCTAGTAGGCAAGCAATGGATGAAAAACAATGCAAAGTGGAACTTGAGAGGTGGATAAATATTGAAGAGAGCATCTTGATGCAAAAGTCTAGAGTGCAATGGTTGAAATTGGGGGATGCTAACACCTTGTATTTTCATGCATGTCTAAAGTCTAGGCAAAGTCAGAAGCAAATAACACAATTGATGAGTCTTGAAGGCATAGTATTGTCATCTGGAAGCCAGGTTGAAGGGGAAATTACAAAGTTTTATAAACAATTGCTAGGTTCTGCAGCAACTAGTCTACCAGTAGTGGACATAACTGTCCAGTTGCTGGTAATATATGGCGTTATTTATTACAATGGCAGGGCATTACAAGATCGAATCAAGGGTGGATAGAGGAAGTGCAGTGGGGTCAGCAACATTGCAAAGGGAGAAGCAAAGGAACAACAGAATCTTTCAACATTCTTCGTGATCACAACATGTTATCATCAAACAAATCACACAGGAAGTGTTCCAAAGAGCTAGTATTGTTTAACTTACCATTTCAGCACGAGCAGCTACAAATGCTTTTGACCCCATAAAATGGCTATATTTAAGTTTAGATCGATTGACCTTGTTTACTTGACATCGTTTCTACCATGAAAATAGAAATATAAGTAGATCAAATAACACTTAAACAAATAAAGTGTGTGTGTGTATATATATATATATATATATATATATTTGAATATAGATCACCTTATGCTCTGGATTCGACCACATATCACAAGGCCTATTCCAATTTTCCGGGGTTAGTTCTGGCACTTCAATTTTACGAGCAACTTCTTCGTTGAGTGCACTTTCAAACATCTTTTTCAATTTATAGCGCCACTGCCGACTTCTATTTTTGAGAATATCCTCACAACAATCTTTGACGTAATGCTCGTCTAAGTTAATTTCAAACTTCTCCTAAAAAGAGGTTTTAAACAAAACACACATAAAAATCAAAATCCTTATAACATATAAGAAGATGAAACACTTACTTATTACAATTTAAGAAAAATAACAAAAATAGAAATCTTACATGACATCTAATAAGCGCAGCATCTTTTTCCTCTACAGTGAGTTCCTTCCACTTATTTGGAAGCGCAAGAAAATTTCGTGCAATTATCCCCAATTCATTTGAGAGTTTTGCTGATTGAACCGCCTTAACAGGTCTCCCTTTTCCAGCTGGGATCTCTATCACCATCTTTTTCCCCAAAGCCCTTTTCAGTTTTTCAAGACCTTTTCCCCTTGTTTTTCCTCGACCCCTCTTAAATCTTGCCGTATCATCTAATTAAGAAAAGGTTAGCTTGAAATAATATCTTAATTGTAATATACTTGTGTATACATTTTAGTATTTCCAGATTCAATTAAGAATATTATGATTAAAGTTTTACATAACTAAAAGCTTTAGTTGTTTAAGTTTTGGCTTCAAAGCTGAAAAGTAACTAATAGCTATGTGTTGATTTATACAAGAATTTGTATTACCTGTCGCAGTAGCAGGAGTACATTTATTTGACTCATTGGCAGATTGAGCAGATGAAACAGTTTGCCCAGTAAGTGTTTTTTTCTTATAGACACGTCCTCCTGGAGCCATGACGTTGCTTATATCCCTGCAAAACAGTTTGTCCAGTAAGTGTTTTGAGTCTTTCCAAGAATGCAAATTCGACAACGTTCAAGTATTGAGGCTGGCAAGGTGCTTTGTTACGACGAGAATCTAATGGAAATATATGAGATATTGGCTGAGAAATTCATGAGGCAGATCAATGGAGATGGAGAAACAAAAGGGTGGAGAAACAAAAGGATGGAGAGAATTGATAGTTCAACTTTTCTCAAGAGCTACTCTATATGTAATGACTTTGAAGATTGTCCAAAGAGTTCTTTGTAAAATTAAAATCTTATACTCTACAAAAGAATAACTACATTGAATCAAGTTTATTGCAGACCTCTAAAATCTGAAATAAAAAAACTAAGAAGTGATCATGTAGAACTAAACTAGTGATTGCTTAGATGCACAAAGAAACGTGAGCAACATAGAATTTAACAACTAATCGACATAACAAAATACAAAATCTTACAGCACATCAACTGATTTCATTGAGCTTAAATCGTTACAAAGAAATATAGTGCTGAAAAATCAAAGGGAAGAACGAATGTTCTTCCACTATTTTCAGGCTTAAAACAGACCATTCCCTCTAAACTAAGACTCACAACAAAACCAAGTAATCGATAATAGAATAGCTATAAGAAAACTAAATCGACACTAATTTTATTTGAAATCAAATAAACATATATATATATATATATATATATAACATGGCATACATAACTAATGTTACGTACTCTGTTCATTCTTATGGGAAAATATGGTAAGGGAAAGATAAAAATCACCATTAGGTGCTCATCCTCTATTCGGAACTCTATGGGAGTCTATCCTTTTCAAACACGAATTTAAAACAACTAACACAATAGTTAAATCATGGTAAAAACTTAATTGGAAAATAGTTTGAAACAACTAACACGATTCAATGAACTCTATAGTGTATGTTTGTAATTTGCTTCTATGGTTTTGAAGAAACAATGAACTGTACTACATTGATCCTATTTTCAATCAATACAAAGTTGCAGAGCATAATTTCATGTATGTCTAGTAGCTCTTTTGTGACAAGTTTAAGTGATTCACACGAACAATTTACTTTGAATTTCAGTCTTCTTGTTCTCTGTTTTTTCAGAGGAATCATTCATACCTGGTATGTTTCTTCAAGCTCAGAAATCTAACTTCAGTCAGGAGTTTTCTTTTCATTTGTCACATATGTATATATATACATTCTTCTAAATTCAATTTTGGAGCCAAAATTTTCAGAAATTAAGCGCCAAAACGCAGTTCTTTTTTTGCATTTTTTATCCCAAAGATCGATGGTTCTGTTTTGGCGGAATCAAAAAAGAAATTTTAAGAGTTGGGGCGGTAATCCCAAAAACTTGGGAAGTCTGTTTTGGTGGAATCAAAAAAGAAATTTGAAGAGTTGGGGCGGTAATCCCAAAAACTTGGGAAGTGGAAAGGTTGAGAAGTGGAGGAGTGTTAAGTTGTGTTTTCTTCTTAAGATGTAAAATAATTTTATAGTTGAAATCTGTGGAATTCCAGTGCGTGATCATCCCTCATTATTGGCGTGATTGGAATATCTTAAAATATATTCCAATTAGTACGATATTTGACATTCCACATGTTTTTTTTTTTTAAAAAAAATATTAACATTTTAAAAATAAATTTAACTATCTTGCCATTATAATAAAAACAATTCTTTATAAAGAATTACTTTATAGAAGTTTAAAATAATATATTGTAATATTTACACGCCACATTGATCCAAATTAAATTCCTATATCAATATCATACCAAATTAAAATGGTATGGTACAATGTTCCTCTATTCTTTTTCGGTACTATAATTCCATAATGTTTGGTTTGGGGAATTTTCAATTAGCAATTCAAGCTGTTAAAAAAACTTTCTTTTTGTATTTTATCATTCACGTGCCTCTACTAAGTGGAGTCAGGGAGTGTTCCACGTAAGACAAAAGGTGTACAAAATAATTTTAAAATATATTTTGTGAGAGGAGGTATTTTCACACGATATGGACGCAAGGCGCCATTCTGGGCATGAATAGCTGAAGTCGGGTCGAGTTTTGAAAAAGGGAATTTTGTCCAATGATATGTATACTCCCTAAGATAAATGTCAATATTTGGAGTGTTACACTAACTTTTTGTGGTAGAAACACGCGAGGAGTGACTTATTGAATGTAGTTTCACTACTATATTTGTTATTGAGACTTACGATCAACTTCAATCCACTCTCAATTAAATCTATCAAAAAGTGAACTTTGTATGTTTCCTTATGTTACTTCTCTTGTCTTCCCTCCTACATGTCGACATACGTTCTACTCGAATGGATCATTGGATGTGGTTTCATTATGCAAGCACCAAACAAAATACTCATTTAGCGATTAAGACTTTTGAACCAACTAAAATTAACTAAATCATAATACATGTATTTTTGGCACAAGCTAAACTTCAAATTCCTCGTATTCAACTACAAAGAAGTATTTTTATGACAAGAATGAGATCAAACCACGACTACTTGACAATCTTACGCAACAATTACTAAATATTTGGAAGAAAACATATGCGTACAACTCCACTAATTACATGATTTATTCTTACAATAGACATAACTCTTTCACAGAGACAATAATAGAAATAAACGGAAAGGGACGAAGATCATCTGTTTCACGGCAGTAAACGAGGTGCAGGAGTTGGATCTTTAAATCGATGGATTCCAAACTCGAATTCAACTCGGACGGAAAAAAAATAACAGATCAGGCAAAAATATAATTTTCTTTATATATATAAAATATATAATCAAGTGAATAAAGTTGATAAGAAATAAATTTTAGGGGAACAAAAAGAAAAGTCATTAGATGAGTCAAATATATAAATGATTCATTACTTTTTTTTGCACTCTAATTTCAAAACAACCCAACATCTACTCTTATTATTTCTCATCCAAAACAAAAGATACCCATCTTTCCCATCTGTTTAGCTCTCACGATTCTCCTATGCAGTAGTTGTGGGACTTGTCGCTGATCTTTTTGCTCATACCTCCACCTCGCTAGTATATATTCAGGTAAGGTTCTATGTTTCTTCTCTCTCTTTTTTGCTATCAGAACCATCCCATATCCCCTTCAAGCTTCAAGCCTATTTATGCAAAGTTACGTGAAATATGTGCTTTATTAGTGACACAGTTTATGAGTCCCTATGAATACGGATTATTGTGAATGTTATTCTGAAATATAAACTAAAGTTCTAAACTTTTCAGAAGGGTTGAACACCCGTTCATTGCTGCCAAAACAAAGCTTACATTAGGATGCCTGCAACATGTTCGACAGATTGTCTGAGAGACGATTTTGTTCACTAGTGAAGTCTGATTTACCGAGTGATATTAGAAGTTGATTGGGAGTGAATTTTAGGTAGTCAAGTAGGTTTTATACTACTTGGTCATATAGCTCAAGCATCGGCAGTTGCTAGGCTTAACAACAGTTTGATTGTTGTGGCATCTATTGTGTTTTCGGAAGACCTGCGAAGAGCTTAAAATTAATTTTACCTTGTGAAGTCAGTTTTTTTATAGTATTTAATTATTATTTGGTTATATGTTTGTGCAGTTTATCATGGATAAGGGATGGATGCATGAACCAAAGTTCTCTAAAAGATACGTAGAGGGTGTCCAATCTTTTATGAAACTTATCCGAACTCGCTTTGATCGAAATACTAAAATTTGATGTCCTTGCCAAGATTGTTTAAATATAAATTTTCAAACACAAGATGTAGTATATGATGACTTGTTGTTGAAAGGAATTATGAAAGATTACGTGCATTGGATATACCATGGAGAACAATCACAAATGAGAGATAATGATGAAGCAATTGACAATGAAGATGAAAATGAGGAATGGATAAATGAAGAAAATGTCAGCCATAATGAAATACATGACATGTTAGAAGAAATCGGTGGAAAATCACAAGCCAATCAGGAGACAACATCCAGTAACAATGGATGTGATAATTTGAGCGAGAGCGAAGCAAAGAAGTTTGACAAATTGTTGAAAGAAGCTGAATGTGAATTGTACCCGGGATGCAAAAAATTCTCGAAGCTTTCATTTGTTGTGAAATTGCTCCACTTGAAAGTGTACAATCAATGGAGCAACAAGTCATTTAATATGTTGTTAGAGTTGCTACGAGATGCATTGCCTAATGGTGAGACACTTCCTAAGTCGCATTATGATGCTAAAAACATGCTACAAGGTTTGGGATTAGGATACATTTCGATTCATGCTTGTAAATATGATTGTGTGCTTTATTGGGGTGAATTTAAAGATAGACAAGAATGTCCACAATGTGGTACTTCAAGGTGGAAAATTGAAAAGGGAAAGGGTAAAAAGATTCCTCATAAAGTCTTACGATATTTTCCCTTAAAGCCGAGACTTCAAAGATTATTTATGTAAAAAAAAACAAGCACTGACATGAAGTGGCATAAAGAAACATATCTTGATGAGACGAATGTGTTAAGACATCCAGTTGATTCTGAAGCTTGGAAAGAGTTTGATAAGAATCATACGTGGTTTGCACAAGAACCACGTAATATTAGACTTGGCCTCGCGACTGATGGTTTCAACCCATTTGGGAATATGAGCACAAACTATAGCATGTGGCCTGTAATTTTATTTCCTTATAATCTTCCTCCATGGAAATGCTTTACTGATCCATTTATGATGATGTCACTACTTATTCCTGGTCCTCAAGCACCTGGAAAGGATATTGATGTTTACTTGCGGCCTTTGGTTGATGAATTGAAAGAGTTATGGAGTGATGGTGTAGAGACATTTGATGCTTCCACAGGGGAGTACTTCAAAATGCATGCTGCTGTTTTATGGACCATAAATGACTTTCTAGCTTATGGTAAGTGTTTATATTTCTTATTGTTCAATATGTCTAAATAATCTCTAGCCTAAAAAGTAAGCTTCACCTCAACTAATTTAAGTAGTTAGGTTGACAAACTTTGATAGTTTCCTATTTATTTATTAGCATTTGGACATATTTTTGTTCCCATTATTTATATGTTTCTAATCTAGGATACTCTTCTTGTTTAAGAAGAGCTACGAACATAAATTTAATAACAGGGGAACACATAATTGTAATAGCTAACATATATTTTTTCTTTTGTATTAGCTAATTTATCTGGATGGAGTACTAAAGGATACATGGCATGCCCTACTTGCAATAAGGATGCACTGTCACAAAAGGTAAGAAGTAAAATTTGTTACATGGGTCACCGTCGGTATCTTAAACCTAGCCACGCATGGAGAAGAAGCATGCAGTTTGATGGGAAGGTAGAAAAAAGATTGAAACCAAAAGAGCTCTCAGGAGATGATGTCTTACAACAATTGGATCTACTCAGTACTTATAGACCAGGAAAACACTCAAATAATAAGAAAAAAAAGCGTCTTCCTATAGAGTTGAATTGGGTGAGGAAAAGTATTTTCTTTGAGTTACCATACTGGAAGAGCTTGAAGTTGCGGCATAATTTAGATGTCATGCACATAGAAAAGAACATTTGTGAGAGTATTTTAGGGACATTACTGAATATTGACAGGAAAACTAAAGACACAGAGAAAGCAAGAGAAGATCTTAAGGATATGAACATAAGAAAGGAACTATGGTTGCAGCATGATGATTCTAGTTATACAATGCCATCTGCTTGTTATAACATGTCAGAAAAAGAGAAAAGAAAATTTGGGGAATTTTTGAAATGTGTTAAATTTCCTGATGGTTATGCTTCAAATATCTCAAGGTGTGTAAGTGCAGATGGTGTTAAGTTAGCTAAACTCAAAAGTCATGATTATCATGTTTTGCTACAACGATTGCTACCTATAGCTATTCGTGGATTTGGAAATAAAGATGTCTCTTTAGCATTGATTGAGTTAGGTCATTTCTTTCAACGGTTGTGTTGTAAGACATTGAAACAAGATGACCTAGAACAACTTGAAAGGGATATAGTTATTATATTATGCAAGCTTGAGATGATCTTTCCACCTGCTTTTTTTGATATTATGGTACATTTGGCTGTACATTTACCACGAGAAGCTATGTATGGGGGACCAGTACAATATCGTTGGATGTACAAAATTGAGAGATTTTTGTGTAAGCTTAAGCGTTATGTGCGAAACAAGGCGCGACCAGAAGGTTCTATTGCAGAAGGTTATATTATTGATGAATGTTTGACATTTTGCTCTATGTATCTTACTAACATTGAGACTAGATTTAATCGTGAAGATCGAAATGTTGATGGATCTAGCAACAAAGAGGAACATGTTCTGGACATATTTTCTGAAAGTGTTAGACCATTTAAAGGAGAATATGATGCAATACCGAAGAAAGATCTTGATATGGCTCAGTGGTATGTGTTAAATAATTGTGAAGAAGCAGAGCCTTTTCTACAGTAAGTTTTCCTATTTATCTATATTGGTTTTCTATTATTTTAAATTACTCATAAATTCATTTTTCCTATGTAGGGAACACAAAAATGAGTTGTTAAACCAAGATGTTGTGAATATAGAAGAGAAACATAGAGAACATTTTTCTTTATGGTTCAAAGGGAAAGTAAGTGATTTTTAAAATGACAATTGTGTTGTGTTTAAGTTTAACTTTTTCTTCTTTACTAATTGAATGTAATAATTTTTCATCGTAGATTATGCATTTGTGTAATAAGGAGAATTCAATGTCTATCAAGAAGTTATATCCATTGGCAATGGGACCTGATGTTCGAGGAAGGAGATATCCTGGTTGTATTATTAATGGTGTTAGGTACCATATTCAAAGTCGTGATGAATTACGTAAAAGTCAAAATAGTGGCATAGTTGTTGAAGGCTATCATGAAAATGAAGTGATTGACTTTTATGGTATTATAGTTGACATTATTGAGTTAGAGTATATAGAAGGCAATCGAGTTGTACTATTTAAATGCAAGTGGTTTGATCTTCGTAAAAAAACTGGGATGCAGAAAGATAAAAATTTTACCAGTATAAATGTAAATAGATTTTGGTATGAACATGATTCTTTTGTACTAGCTACTCAAGCAAATCAAGTATTTTATATTTGTGATCCGAAATTAGGAAAGAATTGGCGAATTGTGCAAAAATTTCAAGATAAACATATATATGATGTGCTAGACATGCAAAATTCAAAGGTGGAAAGTGATGAATTACACACTACTGATGAAGTGTATCAAGATGTGTCAATGGAAAGTAACATGATAGATGTTTCTATTGAGGATATGCCGATCCAATTACATAGAGATGATGTTGATTCAATTACATTGGATTCAAGTGCATTTGAATTGAAGGTTCAAACAGAACATGAAGTTGGTTACAATACCGAAGATTCTGACCTAGAGGACGACACTATAATTGAGTACATAAGTGATCTTGATAGAACTGAAGGCACTAAAAGTATTGATAAAGATGAAGATGGTGACACAGATGATGAAGATGACATTGATTTTGTGATGTAACTTCATAACTGTAGGGGATTACCTTTCATTGACTACGACTAGTGCGTCTCTCCTTCTTCTTCCAGGTATGTATTCTATTATTCTTGTTCCTCATCATCTCCTTCTTCTTCTTCTTCCTCGCTAGAGTCTGGCTAAAAAAATAATTTCAAACTATTGCTTGCACTCGTTTGACTGTTTCCTCTGTTTCATTAGACTTCTATTGGAGTTTTCTCTAATCTGCTCCTCCACCTTGTGCTTATTCTTCATCATATATCCCCAGACTAGAGACTGCCCTGTATGAAGTTTCTTGGCAACTGGATTTGCCCTTTAGCAATATTTAGCTTTAAGAAAATTCCCCCACAGAGAAGATTTAGACCTAAAAACCCACCACTGTTTGAATTGAAGAGCAGTACAAATATCAGTGAGTCTTCTAAGTTCAACACCCCCCTCTTCACAAGGTAAGCTCATAGTTTCCAAAGAGGCCCAATGGTATTTTCTTTTGTCATTATCCCTTCCCCAGAAGAAATCAGCTATAACTGATTCAATATACTTGATGGTGGTGTTAGGAGGGGATACTGCAGCCATTGTGTGGATGGGAATGGATTGCAATACATGCTTGACTAGAGTGATCTTCCCTCCAAAGCTAAGAAACCTTGAATGCCATCCACTAATCTTCTTAGTCACCTTGTCAACCAAATGGGAATAATAAATAATCCTCTGCCTTCCAATGTATAATGGACAACCTAAGTAAGAGATAGGACTGTCCTTCTGAGAGAATCCAGTAACCTCCTGAATGGTACTGATGATATTGTTTGGAGCGTTGCTAGGTACCAAGAAGTGGCTTTTCTCCTTATTTATGAGCTGGTTAGATGTGCTTTCATAATCCCCCAATATTTTCATAATAAGCTGCAACGACTGCTTATCACTTGAGGTGAATATGATCACATCATCTGCAAAACTCAGATGGTTGATTTGAGGACCTCTAGGCTCCATCTTAAAGCCTTTGTATCTCTGACTCTGATGAAGTCTGTTAAGCATTCTTGAAAGCACCTCTGCACCTAAAATAAAGCATTCTTGTTCTTTCTTTCATCTTCTAATTCTCTTCTTCTTTTATGGTCATCGTCCCTTTGTTTAATGTTGCACTCATAATCCATATGTCCCTGGTGCATGCAGTGGAAGCAGTAGGGTGGTACATCCTCATACTCAATAGTCTGCCATCTTCCATCAGTAATGTCCTCTCCTATGTAACCCATCCAAACATGAGGAGGTCTCTTTTTTGTAAGATCAATTTGGACTTTCACCTTAGCTTTACTTCCCCTAGTTTTTTGGATGTAAGCTGAGTCCAGGTACAACACCTTTCCAACAGGTAAAAGCAGGCCAGACACATTGTCTTTGTTATAGCAATGCCATGGTAAGTCAGGTAAGGTTACCCACACAGGGACAATTGGAGTCTCAACTTCAGGCTCAAAGGATGGTGTCCAGTCTTGGATTCGCATCAGCTGGCCTGCTATGTTCATCCTTTGCTTGGTCCAGACTGTGTTATAGTCTAGCTCATTATCTAAGTCTATATAAACATGCCTTGCATTGTAATGAGCAATCTTGACCCCCCCTGATAACTGAGTCTGTAGAATGAAACTTTTTCTAATGAGTTCCACCTTAGGCATAGTGTGAGTGAATTTCCCAATCAAAGTGTATTTGCATACTTCAGCAAGAGGCCCCAACACTTCTTCTTTTACAAATAGCACTGCAGGTAGACCCTGTTTGGCAGTGACCTCAGGAGTGGTAAGCTTGACAGAGTTATCAATTATGGATTGGTTATGCCTAAGTCTCGCAGCATAGGTTTGGACAACAGTATACGGGGCAGGTTCAGGGATGTGCTCCTTCTTGTTAGCACTGGTAACAGGCTGATCATGTTTCTCATTAGGTTGGCTAGGCTTAGGGACAATTCTATTTCTTTGGCTAGAAATTTGATGGTCAAAATTACTAGAGACTTTAGGATAGCCATTACCTGATTGAGTCTGATCAACATTGGTCCTACTAGGTGGGTGTTGCTGCTTCTCTTTAGCTTGCCAAACTTGACTGTTGTGCTGCAAATGCTGATTATTGAACCTGAGGGATTGACCATTGGTCTGGACCTGTTCCTGCTCTTTATGCACAATGTTATGCTCATTTGAATGATCATGCAAATGAGCTTTCCCTTTATCCTTATCAGTAAGATTAACAGGGCTAGTTTTAGAAATCATACATGACTACTCCTTGGCTGGTGCTTGCTGACTTTCTAACACTTTGGTTGCTGCAATTCCATGGACACCCTGCATATTACCTTAATGGCTTCCTCCATCAGGCTAGGGTCATTAACTTGTCTAGGTAGTGTGTTTTGATGTGCATCCTGAACCTGCTGCATCTCCTCCATAGTTTGATTGTAATCATGTTCTCTTGCATTAACCTGAAAAGAGAAACTAGTAGAAGCTTCAATTGCATTGTTCATACTGTGAACTGGTGCAACCACTGTTCTTCCCATCAAGCCTCCATCCCTATCCTCAATATGCATTTTTGCAGAAGTGTCCCATTTTTCATCATTCGAATTGCTGGGGTGTTGTTCTACATCTCTTTGTTGCACATTCCTGTTAATATTCTCTAGACACTCCTCATCTCTTTGTTTTTCATTATCATGGTTCGCTGGAGCTCCGGTAAGATTTGAAGTTGGTCTCCAAATCTTAAAGTTCTCCTCACAGTTATGCGCAATCTCGCTAAGACTATATTTTGCTATTGTTTTTCAGTTTCTTTTCTTTTTGCTGTAGTTTCTGCGCGAATCTGGTGCTGTTTGGTGCAATTTTTGTGTTGTTTTAGTGCGAATATGGTGCTGCTTTTTTGGTGCAGTTTTGGAGCTTTTCTCGTGCAGTTTTGGAGCTGTTTTGCTGTTGTTACAGTGATTTTCTGTTGCTGTTTTTGGTGCAGTTCTAGTGCTTTCTGCTGGTGGTGTTGATGCAAGTTTAATGCTGATTTAGAGGCTATTGTGATGCTGCTGTTTTTGTGTAATTCAAATGTTGTTTTGATACTTTTCTGGTGTAATTTTGGATCTTTTCTGCTGCTATGTTGGTGCAACCATAGTGTTGTATTAGTGTGAATTTCGTCCAGCTATTTTGGTTCATTGTCAGTACTATTTAGGTGCAATTCTAATGTTATTTTGATGAACTTTTGGAGCTATTTTGATGCATTGTTGGTGCTCTGCTGCAGTTTTGGTGAAGGTTTACTAAATTTATTGTGTTGTTCGTTCTAGTGCAAATCTGATGTCTACATGTCATGTCTCGAGAATGGTGTAGTCACTACAATAATTGACTATTTCTTCTATGTTAGAGGTTATAGAAGACCTGGAAAACATATTTGCTTAAGTAGTAGAGGCTTTTCATTCATATTATTTTTTGTTAATATTATTTACCCATAAAATATTTTTGTTCCTTATTTATTAGAGCTGTTAATCTATTTTAAATATTCATTATGAGATGTCTTTAATAACATGCATCTCTTTTGTCAAGTGGCTGACATTGATTTTATTTTTGTCAAAAAATTGTTATACATGTCTGCAATGAACACAAACAATGTCAGTTTATGTGTGTCGTGAATATACACTATCTTACTAGTATTACTTTTATTCATGGGTTGATGTTTCAACTTGGAACTTCAAGGGAATTTCGATCCCTCTAAATCACTAAGTCAACTTCTAAATTTAAAAGAATATTATCAATATATTGTGTAATTTTTTATCAAGTGGTCCTGGAGATTGGTGAACTCTCTCACTACCCTATAGATCTGCACTTGAGCGTAGCCAAATATTATTTTTATATTTTAATTTTAAAAAATCGTGATAAATGGTTAAATTATTCAACTACAAAATTTAAATTGTCACTATTTAAACATAGTATATTTTGTGACAAAATTATATTGTCACTAAGTTGCAGGTTAGTTAGAGACAATAAAATAATCGTCACTAATTGCTTATATTATTAGAGACGAAAACTAAGGTCACTATTAAATATATAATTTTGTGGCTAAAACCTTACAACATTCAACTACGAACTCTATTTTGTCGCTATTGCAACAACTTATATTTTGTGATGAAAATTTTTTGTGTCCAAAATTGTAACTAATTTTATGACAAATAAAATTTTGTCGCAAATTGGATACATTATTAGCGACAAAATAATGTGTCATTGATGAATTAAAATTTGTCACTAGTTGTACTTAATAAATGGCGCCAAATTATTTTTTGGTGGGAAACTTTACTAGACAAAACTTTGCTACGAAATTGTATGTTTCGTCACTAAAAGTATGTTGCACATACATTTAAATACGAAACATATTTTTTGTCACAAAAGGTGAATAATTAGTGACGAATTTTATATCGTAACTAATAATTTCGTAGCTAAATATCACATTTGTTGTAGTGTAAAAATATTATCTTATTTACTTGATCAGACTAATATTTTAAAATTTATTTATCAATTGTGAAATGTAAAATATTTGATCTACAATTGTTTTTATAAGGCTAGTAGGAGAGGAAAAATCATTTCCTCCTGCTTAAATTGGCCTAAGATTTTGTATTGTGTGCAATAAAATTCATAATTTATTGATGAATTCATCAAATATTACTTACCAACATGAAGAAAAAGTCCATCTAATTTTAAGTACTTTCGTTGATGTTAAGCTCTTTTTACTTTTATGTTCATTGTGAATGATATTAGACATTTATTTTATATCCCTCAAAGAGGAGAAATTTCGCTCAGGCATAGGGATAATTTGAATGGTGAGAATCATATACGGATAATGTCTTTCATTATTTGAAGTACAAATGCCAATTGCGTTAATTAAATTTAAATTTTATACATCTAACATCATGTTTATGGTTAAAAAAAAGAAAATGGCCAAATGCCCCCTCAACGTATATCCGAATTTCCAACTACACACTTAAACTTCACGGGAGTCCTATCACCCTCCTGAACTGTTTAACAAATGAAATAATT